TGAGAAGCTTTGACCATTCTGTTCTTTACCAGATTTCCCCCTTGTTATACATAATGCATCCCCACCATATCCCACTGATCATAATTTAGACATTTTGAAATCTACACTACCCCATGATCCTTCCATGGGCACATATGTTTCAGCTTTTTTGACCCAGTGGTTCCTGAGAAGAAGATTTTCAAAGATTTTTCCTGTATATTTCTATGTAAAACTTTGATTCCCCTATAATGGCCCCGCCCTTCCCCCGGGGGTCATGATTCCTACAATTTAGAATTTACACTACCCCAGAATGCTTCCACATAAGCTTCACTTTTTCTGGCCCAGTGGTTCTTGAGAAGAAGATTTTCAAAGATGTTTCCTATATATTTCTATATAAAACTTTATTTGAACAATTTAGAATCTACATTATACCAGGATGCTTCCACATAAGTTTCAGCTTTTCTGGCCCAGTGGTTCTTGAGAAGAAGATTTTCAAAGATTTTTCCTATATATTTCTATGTAAAACTTTGATACCCCACTGTGGCCCCGCCCTTCCCCCGGGGGTCATGATTTGAACAATTTAGAATCTACACTACACCAGGATGCTTCCACAAAAGTTTCAGCTTTTCTGGCCCAGTGGTTCTTGAGAAGAAGATTTTCAAAGATTTTTCCTATATATTTCTATATAAAACTTTGATTCCCCATTGTGGCCCCTACCTTCCCCCGGGGGTTATGATTTGAACAATTTAGAATCTACACTACCCCAGGATGCTTCCACATAAGTTTCAGCTTTTCTGGCCCAGTGGTTCTTGAGAAGAAGATTTTCAAAGATTTTTCTTATATATTTCTATGTAAAACTTTGATTCCCCATTGTGGCCCCGCCCTTCTCCCGGGGGTCATGATGTGAACAATTTAGAATCTACACTATACCAGGATGCTTCCACATAAGTTTCAGCTTTACTGGCCCAGGGGTTCTTGAGAAGAAGATTTTTTAATGACCCAACCCTATTTTTGTCTTTTCTTGATTATCTCCCCTTGCAAGGGGATATGTCCCTTCATTTTTACAATTTAAATTCCCCTTCACCCAAGGATACTTTGTACTAAGTTTGGGCAAAATTGGCCCAGTGGTTCTTGAGAAGAAGTCGAAAATGTGAAAAGTTTACAGACGGACAGACAGACGGACAGACGGACGGACGACGGACAAAATGTGATCAGAAAAGCTCACTTGAGCCTTCGGCTCAGGTGAGCTAAAAAGCCCGTCGTCCACTGATAGACATTTCGTCCGGATTGTAGAAAGCTGCCGGTGGATAAGGTCCTACGTAATTCTGGTTCTGTTCCGTATTAAAAAAGTGGGGAAAATAACCTTTCTTCAATTCGTCGAATCCGAAAGCGGAGGGCATCTTGGCTAATGCAAACGGTAAGAAACTATAGGAATCGATGAATTTCAGTCCGCATATTTCCATGTACAAGATCTTACTACCGTTCATGATCACGTTAGGTTTCAGGCAAGAGGAATGCACCAGGTGATTCAAAATGAACTGTCCGTCGTAGCCTTTGAAGTTATGGGCGATGATGATGGCCTCGTCGTGTACTAAAGTGGAATTCTTAGTACCTGTAGTGGGTTGTAATAACCAGTCCATGAACTTCTTTAAGGTGTCTGGTCCTTGAAATAGGTGCTGGCGGGGTCCCATGTGTTGACAATGAGGACAGGGCTGGTCTATGGGTAAGTGACTGCAATGTTGACAGACGCGGTGTGCCACACACAGATTAGGGATGTGAATGCCGGTTTCCTGAGTGCATTCGAAATCGAAATAGATGTAAAACTGTAAGGTGTCTTTCCCCTTCTTCTTCTTCTGGGGCTTCTGTTGAACGTAGCACTGATGATCGGCATCGACGATTTTCTTACAGATCTTACACTGTTTCTGTCCTCCGCATTTGTGATGAGGGAATAAAATCTTAGGTATCCAGGACTGACACTTCTGGCATAGCCCCATTAAATTGCAGACAGTAGTGGTGGTTTTCTTACTATGGGGTCTTAAATGATTTTCGTAGCAGGTCCTGTTCTTAAAAATTCCCTGGGATTCCCGGCATCGAATCTCGATCCCTTCATCGGGACATCTAGGGTGTCCTAAACAATATTTACAGCGATGAGGGCACTTGGACCGATGGTCTGTGACATTCCTGTACCCTACGTCGCAATGATCACAGTAATAGGGGTTCCCCGTTACTCCCGGCATGGATAGGATGGCATCGCAATGATGGTCGTCTAACAATATGTTCAAATAAGTTCCGTTTCCCCAACCTTTGTAAATAGGCTCTAAACAGAGTTTAGTCGAAGTAGACTTGAACTGAAATATTTTCAGTCGATACTGAGGAGCTAACACCTCTTGTAATTTAGACCACTCTGCATATCCACAAGCTTGAGTGATATCACACTCGGCCTGTTCCATGAGGGCTATGGCTTGATTCTTCTGGTCTAAGGATTGCCTATCTCCCTTCCGCATAGCAAGCCATTGTTTTTCCCATTCGGGGTCTGGATGTTCGGGGTTTTGACTGTGTAATCGAGTGACGACGATGGCTCTAGCTAAACAAAATTTATCTCAGGGATTGACGATCCGAACGATGGATTGCTTATTGTTCTTAAAAGTCTCCTTATTCACTTGTAGATGTTTGGTTCTGTCTCCACCACTTCCCTCGGGATACTTGATGTGTAACAGATCGAATTCCGTGGAGCTGTCGCCCAGTCTGAACTCCTTTTTGGATTGTTGCACACGTTCTATTTTATCTAAAATGAGGTTTTCGTTTAAATCTTTACATTGCGTAAACTCGTACGAAATGTCTGATTCCAGAGAATGGTGACGAAGGTTCAGGCGGAGGTAATCGTTAGGATTACACTGCATTTTCGATTTGAAAGTTTGTAACATGTTTCTGAATAATCGCCGAACGAATCCTGTGTTTTCCTCTTCTGGAAATTCATTGAAATGGACGATATATCTATTTTCATGCGCTTTAAATTTTGGAGAGCTCTTTTCTTGAGCTAGTCTCATCTGATAATACTTGGAAATCGCCTTGGGTTTGGGTGGTGAATGAATAGGTAACTTTGACCCTCATGCGCCCTAGTCCTTTGCTGTTGTTGTCGTTGTTTTTCTAGTTGAGCTCTTCTCTGTAATAGTCTTGCATTTCTTTTCCGAAGGTTTAATTCTCGCTCTTTATTTTCATCAAGAATTTGATCTAATTCTCCTTCCCGTAGTTTGTCGTTGTCGTTGTTGTTGTTGTTGTTGTCGTTGTTGTTCTTGTAGAGCTCTTCTCTGTAATCTTTCCGCATTTCTTTTCCTAAGCTCTAAATCTCCATCTTTATTTTCATTAAGAATTTGATCTAATTCTCTCTCCCTTTTTTTCCATTCTAATAATCGTTGAGCATGTAACTGTTTTTCTCTAGTAGAATCCATGACCCCAATAGGAGCTGGCTCTGACTGTAGAATGAGCTGAAAGTAGGAGAAAACCTGTATTTATACAGTGGATGACGTCACAATGCATAGGTAAGTCCAAACCTATTTTTGCACACGGCACTTTATAGATGATGCAACAGGTATAAAAAAGATGATGCAACAGGTTTAAAAAGATGATGCAACAGATATCAAAAAGATGATGCAACAGGTCGTAGTAGGAGCGTATCTAGTATAATGTAAACACAGTGTAAACACATTATTGGACATAGGGCTATGTAATGAGTTGAACCCCCTAGGGGCCCTGTACGGAGTTGACCCACCTATCCCCCAGACCCCCTAATCTGCACTCCCTTGACCCACCTATCCCCCCAGGGCCCAGTAGTGCACTCAGTTGACCCGCCTATCCCCCCCAGCCCCCAATCTGCACTCCCTTGACCCAGCTATCCCCCCAGTCCCCCCAATCTGCACTCAGTTGACCCGCCTATCCCCCCAGCCAATCAGAATCCAGCATTTTTGACCTCATTTGCATAAAAAGTGCACTCAGTTGACCCACCCGGCTAGACCCGTTATACTACTTGTGGTGACTGCCCCACGCACCCTCCCACTTTTCCGACGAGCAGGGTGAGGATGATGGATTGTGGGAAACGGACCAGAGCTCCGATGATGAAATGTATATGAGGCCTGCAAATGCTGACACTTCTGACCAGGGATTTACAGAAAGCACTAGTGTTTCTAAGTGGGTTCCTGGGCAGAGAAAGTGTACACTGTGTGGTGCGACTGATCATGTTATATAAATGGCATTTTCTAATTGTTGACAGCATTTATCGTTTGAAAACTGCATTATAAGCTGACAATTTTTGGGGGTTGTAGCAGGTGTTCTTTATACCAAGCATGGTTTATTTAGGGAGAAAAATGCAATTTGTTCATTGAAAAAAATAAAGGTATCTACCTGCTTTGTAGTTTGTTTTCCTTATTTTAAATATTTTATTACAAAACAGCTAGATTTTTGAAAGAGATATGGGTCCTTTCATTTGTAAAGTTTTAAACGTAATGTATGCGTATGAAAGTGGAAAGTTTTTAGACAATATGACCATTCAAACAGATATTTGACCACATAAAATCGAAAACTGACTTATTTTAATTCAAAAAAGCATGAATTTGTGAATTATCAAAAGCTCAAAGACTATTGGTGCACCCCCACCCACCCACCGCGCAAACTTTTTTGAAAGCAAAGAAATAGGATTGTATTTTGAACCAGCTTTTTGAAGTCTACATATACTATTCAACAACCAGTATCTTTTCTTAAGTCCAAAAAACAAAATAGAGTTTGCCAATTTCCCCTTGCCGACTTTTGACCACAGGCACTTGTTTCGGTAAAAAAAATTTTAACCCATGGTATTTTATTTTCTTATAGGTCAAAATATGATTTCTGAACTTTCCGGAACAAGTATCTGTGGATTTATTCCCATTTAATTTAAGAATTTACTTACACCAAACATGCTATTTTATTTAGCTTCCCATTTAAAATCAATGAAAAGAATTTTTTAAAGCAAGCGCAAAGTAATACACATATCTTCCCTGCTCAGTCCTAGTACATTTACGTAATAAAGACTTCGTAATATTGTGCACACACAAAATGATTCAAGATGAGAAATTAAGTGCTTTAATATTTCAGCTGAACGTTGTCATCACGTCCAAATTCCTATAACCACAATGACACAACTCGATTCCCCAAAACGCTCTTCTCTTCCACTGTGGTCATTAGACGCGACGAATTATTGCATGCTTAAAAAAACAAGGGAACTCTCAGGAAATGGTACACACTCGTTTTTTAACTTTTATAGTCGCTAGTTCCGCCTCAAATGCTCCTCCCGTCTTTTCATTCACTACTTGTAAAAGTTGTACAAGATCCGTTTTCACCCGGAAGCAAATAACCTTTTCCGGTGTTGCGCAACTGCGACCACAGTATATTGCGAATTCGTGCTTTTGTTTGCTGAAGCTGTATCTACGTATGTCTGCGAAATACCACATGTAAATCGGCTCGGATTTGGTGGATCTCTCAGTTTTTCCTAGCCTTGGATGGAGATTTATGGACAAGTTTCCTAAAACTAGCTTATAGCGATTTGTCAAGCCAAGTTCTTTAACATCCGGGGTCTGTATAACCGTGACTTCGAAAGAGTATTCTGGAAATAAAAAAAATAAACTCTGGGTATACATTTTTTAATACCGGTATTCAACATTGACTATTGATAATTATATGTACGGGAGAATGATTTTTGACAATATCAAAATCTTTTCATGGACTGCGTAGTGCAGTGTATGGCGGCACCACTTACAGTATCTTCTAATTTGTTATATAAACTTTACAAAAATTCGATTAAAATCTGATTAAATTACAAATCTCTATACATAGTGCGTTTTACACTATGTAGACATCTGTATTTTGATCAGATTGAGTTTATCAACGATAGCTACTTAATACGGATAAAGTTAATTCCACCAGTGCCTTCTATTAGACATAAATATCTAATCTATCAGCTACGCTAGCGGTAGACTGGTGCCCGGACATTAGTGAACGGGCGCAAACGCCCTCAAAATCCAACTTCCTAGCGGGAGAGACTGGAATCGAAGTCAGAGAACCAGTCTACGTTAGCGGCTATGTTATGTTACACACATACAGTTGAGCATTGAATAAGTTACTAAGGTTGAAACTTACCTTTAATAAGACCCTCGTAAGAAGTAACATTCTTTTCTTTAATTTGAGCAATTTCAGAAACTAGCTGGTATTCATGGGATCCAGATTGGATTGCATCTACAAAGTCATAGCTTTGTTTCCGGCCACTTCCAGGAATTCCGAAATTCTCATACCCTGCACTTCCGGGGGTTTCCAAATGGTCTGCATTGACAATTGGACTCTCACCGGTAGTCGAAGTGTTTGATAAAAGTTCGTAGTCTGGTGCACTTGCCAGGGAATAAACAGGATTGGTTGTCATGGGAACGGGATCCTGAGGGCCTGGAATTGCCACTGGATCTTCATATTGTTCCGGTTGTGAAATGTCAGTCTTCAACTCTGACATAATCTTTTACTTAGTGAAATAAGATTCACAATTTAAAGAAAAAAAATTCTTTCGACTCCAAACTCTTAATTTAAAACCACAATAACATTTACAATCTTATCTATTCTTTCTGACATCCACATGTCTCGGTATCATAATGATGAGTACTGTCAACTGTCTTTGTCAATAACAACATAACTTTGAAAATGCACATTTTAATATCCTTAGACACAAAATTAACAGTGTGGCACTATATATTTGTAATGCAAAACTGAAATTAGACAATTTCCTTTAATAAAACATCTTCCATAAAAAGTCAGACCAAAATTCCGGATTCTTAAAGTTCCTCATAACACTAAAATTTGACAATTTCCTTTTAAATAAGATCTCGATTCACATATAAAACCCTCCATGTTTAAACTGAGAGAATCCTTTTTAGAATGGTATCTGTAGTGTAAGGATAATGAGAGATTATCATAACGAGTGAAGATCCCCCTTAATGTTATGTAAACAAGGATACATCCGCCCTACGATATCTTACAACACCGCCTTAATGCGGATATTAGTTCAACAGCTGCACTTACGATCGAAGGCCTCACGTAATTGTTTTGGTATTAAAACTACATTTAGAGTATCAAATTCATCTGACTTAACATTCATTGAATAATTTTTCAAAATCAGACTAAAGGTACCGTGTTTCTTCTATTTACTTTGATCAATTTACAATGATAGTGTATAATTTTTTTCCTATAATTGCAAACACCAATATTCACTTCTAATTTCACATCATGTTAATACAGATAGGTACATGCATCTATAGTTAGATTAAAGTGAACCTCTATTTCTTAAATATGTAATTTTAAAATACCTTTATAAGGTTAAACTTTCGACTTTTTATAAAATCTTTCTGAGAACTTTAGAGAACCTTGAGAGGTATAGAATAAAAATTGTTATACAAAAAGATATAATTTTCAAGCTAATTCATATTTAGACCTTTTGAAATAAATTATAAATTCAAAAGACATCCATCCTGGCTGAGGATCGGAATTTCTGATATCACAAAATGCTTTTTTTGAAATCAGATGTGAATTCGATTTCTTAATATAGAAAATCATTTTCTGATATCATTCACTTGTTTCGGAAATTCACTTGTTTCAGAAATAAATTTTTAACCCACAATATAATAATAACACAAGGTATCTCACTCCAGATTATACTCAATACCCCCTCCTCAGAAATGCACTCATTTACACTTTCAGAGGAAATGCACTGGCAAACTGTTTATTGCCATTGTCTTCTAAGATAATTTATCTACGCAACCAAATATATGACATGCATGTCTTTGTTTTCTTTTATCTCCGTAAACAGCGGTCAATAATAGGGGAGTATTCATTAAAGTAAGTTCTATTTATTTCCCTCATATTTTCTGATATAAAAAAAGGATTTTTGATATCAAAAAATTCGAACGCGTTTATTTTTTGATTGTTCAGAAAATCATTTTTTGATAAAAAAAAAAATCGATTTTTTATCAGAAAATGATTTTCTAATATAAGAAACTCAGTTTGAGGTGTTTGATATCAGAAAATGTTTATTCAATTTCGGATATCAAAAAAATTGATTTCCTGATAACAAATAACCATTTTCTGGCTTAAAAAAAATCGATTTTTGATATCAGAAAATTATGTTCTGATATATATCAAAAATTCAAATGTTTTTATGTTAAAAGTGACTAAAAAATAAAGAAATGAAGCCTCACACACTAAATGATATCCCCGCCTCCTTTACCATTGTAATGGCAAAGTCCATATTTTGTTCTGGGAGGCACGAAATACGTGTCAGATCAGAAACTAAAATAGGAGATGGACAATGGCACTATATTTAACTAGAGGTACTAGTACTGTGAGCAATGAGCTCACTAAATAATACCCCGTCTCCCATATGAATATAATGGCAGTGTCCATGTTTTGCTATGGGAACCCAAAATATGTGCCGGATCAAAAATTAAAATAAGAGGTGCACAATAGCATTATGTAATAAAGATTCTGTGATCAAATTTCATTCAGTAGTATAAGATGAGTTGCGGATAAGAGATGGGTACCCCAAAACGTAACATACGGACGAACATACAGACAAGAAGACGGACGGTCGGAGAAACCGATCGCTAAATACTAGTACCTCCAATTTTTCAAGCGGGGTATAATACATGTAAGAAATATGAAAGTCCCATTTCTGTGGTAATTTTTAACCGAAGATCTTGTCACAAGAATACACCTGTGAAATATGAAAGCCGTAGCCCCATCCACTCTGAAGTTAAGAGCAAGGTTCAAATTTTTGCGGACGTACAGGCTGAAAGACGGACAGGGCAAAAACTTTATACCCCCAAATCTTCAAGACAATGGTCAGGAGATGAAATATCGTAATTATTTTCACAGGCAATGATGTACTTGTGGATTATGAAATTCCTATCTTTTCTCATTCAAAAATTATTGCTGAGGTAATTTTTTTATGACAGGCATACGGACAACCGAATGAGATTAGATGACCCTTTGCTTTCAGAGGGACGGGGCGGGGGTGGTTGGGGGTGTTGGTTTCATTTGTATAATTTATTTAATCTTCGCCATCTCTTTTTCAAGAATCTCTAGCACTTTTTATTGTGAATTTAAAGAATTAAACGATAAATATTAACATGTAGAAAGACCTTTTCTTATACTTTAGACTATTTCAAAACGTATTCAGAAGACATTGAATGACCAGTGTAAATATCCAGCCTGTTCTTTGTATTGTAACCTTGACCTGTTGTATAGAGAGGGTATATTTATAGTCTTTAAGCCTGTTGCCCAATCCATTCAGTTTATACTGAATAAATATTGTTTAGATAAATGACCAAGCATGTACGTGTTGTTGATCATTATTCAATTAACGTACTCACTAGCAGAGTGGCATTCAGTACGACTTGGCGATGATGAATTGAATTGAATTGAACATATTTTATTGACAAAGTCAAAAGGATCGGACACAAGTTCTGTAACTTAGTTAGTCCTCTCCTAATATAACATTTTGTGAAATTGCCAAAGTAAAACAAACATATATACATATGGTCTACTACATACATTGTATACATTGTAGCAATAGAAAGGTATAAATTCTTAAAATATACAAATATAATTTGAGATGGTGAGAAAAAAAAAGTAAACTTATTTTGAAAAATGACCACATTCATTTAAGACAGTTTGAATAGTCTTGAAAAGTTCAGCATTTTGTTCAAAAGTTAGAGAATCATCGCCCCATAGCATTAAATGTACATCTATAATATGTAAATAATTTAATGACAATAGCTTATTCATTAAGGAATTTCTTGCTTTTACATAATATTTACAAACAAAAAACAGATGATATGTATCTTCTAGTAGTCCACAAGAACAATTAGGACTGGTTATTAGGTTACAGCGATATAAATCAGACTTTAAAATACAATTGTGTCTTAATCTTGTATGAATTATTTTCATAAACCTTTTTCCATAAGAAAAATATTTCTGAGGTTTTACATTACTATTTTGCAGATAGTTTTTGAAAATTTTAATAGAAGTTGCCTCCCTTGTTTTTAGACTAAGGGAATTCCACTTTCTAACAATATCGGTAATAAATGATTTATTGTAGAGTTCTAATCTGTATTTTGGCAAAGAATAATTTAAAGAATTCCGGGTAGTGTATCCTGAAATATTGCCTCTTGTATCAGGTACTAAGTTTTTCAAGTAAATAGGGACTAAATTATTGTGCATTTTATACATTGTTATTAGTTTTGCCCTATTTCTTCTATATTCCAGTGGTTCCCAGCCTGTTTCCAAACATAATGAATTTCTTGAAGCAATAATTGTAAGCCCAGTAACTATTCTTGCAGCATATAATTGTACTTTTTCAAGATTCTCAATGTCTGTTTTTGTGCATCCAGACCAAACTTCAACAGCATATTCAAGTTGTGGTCTGATAAAAGATATATACATCTGGGATAGAATATCTCTTGACACAGTAAATTTTAATTTTTTAAGAAGCCCCAGTTTTTTGTATGCTTTCTTTATAATGGTATCAATATGATCAGACCATCCTAAGTTAGACGACAGAAGTATCCCAAGATGTTTGTGATTTGTAACATATTCCAATTGACAATTGTCAAAAAATAATTTAGGAAAATTCTGTACATTTTTCAAATTAAAAAATACTGCTTTGGTTTTCTGTGGATTAAATTTCAATAACCATTTCTTTGACCATTCATCTAGTATTCTGAGATCATGGTTAAGATCTTGTTCAATATGATTAATATTATCTGAACATTGTTGTAAAGAATTATCATCAGCAAATAGTCTGCAAACAGATATCATATTTTCAGCCACATCATTTACATACAATAAAAAAAATAGAGGATCAAGTACTGAGCCCTGAGGAATTCCAGCTTTTACTTGTCCTACAGAGGAAAAATGATTTCTATACATGACTTGTTGGATTCTTTTGCTTAAATAACTATCAAACCAATCTAGCATATCACCATTTATTCCATACATTTTTAATTTGTAAATTAAGCCTTTATGCCAGACCCTATCAAATGCCTTTGATAAATCACAAAACACCATACAACAGAATTTACCTTCATCAATACTTTTTACTATAGAATGGTATGTTTCTAAGAGTTGATATACTGTGGAATGACCTGGTAAAAAACCTGCCTGGTATTTATAAAATGTATTATGTGAATACAGGAAATTGTAAACATGCTTAAAAATTATTCTTTCAAAAAGTTTTCTTATACAACTCAGCAAAGAAACTGGTCTATAGTTTGAAGTGATGGAGGGGTCATCTTTCTTAAAAACTGGAAGAACATGTGCTAGTTTCCAGCAGTCTGGAAATGTTTTTAGTGATAGGGATTTGTTGAATAGTATACACAAAGGTTTTGAGATAGTTTCTTTGCAAGATTTTAACATTTTATGACTGATGCAATCAGGACCAACGGCTTTATTGACAGGAATAAT